AAGAAACCAACATACTGACCTGAATAAGCTATAACAAAACAACTACATTTAAAATTAACAACTACATTTAAAAAAATAAAGGTCCCAAAAAGGGGGGTTTCTCAGAAGAAGAACCATTTTTGAACAGTTCTTTAAAAAAGCATTTTTGTTTTCAAAGTGCGAAGATCATTTTCCCCCTCGTTCTAAGGAACATTTTGTGCGATGGAAAGGTTCTGTGGATGTTAAAGGTTCCTCAAGGAACCATCAGTTCCAATAAAGAACTTTTATTTTTAACAGTGTAAAGAACCGTATACCGGAGCAACACAAAACACTAGCAAAAAATAGTGTCCAGGAAAAGGTTTAGAAAAATATATTAGCCTTCAGACAAGTAGGTTTTACACTGGCACAATCAGTTTCCATTGTCATCAGGCCTAAGACTAAACTTACACACTCGAACCATAAGCCTTACACCAAAACTAGTTTATTTTTATGTATTTATTTATTTATTTTTGCCCGTGGCCACGATTTTGGCTGTCTGATGTTCTTGGCAGCTGCCAAGCAGGTCTTGTTTTTTGGAAAGCCTCTTATAGGTCTTTTCCATTACTGCCAAATATAAACAGTATCTGTTTTAATATGGCTTCTAATTATTAAGTATCAATTCCCCCTCTTGCGGCGCAATCGCACGGGGTATGGATGAATACCGCGCGCTCATCTGCTTTGATTCGTTCGTCGGGAGAGCGTGCCAGCTGACACGGTGCCCAGTCTGCGGCTTAATGCACAAGTTTTTAATAATGTGTGGGACTACATGAGTCTCCGCGGCTCATTGATATTCACGTGCCTAATGTCTTGTCAAAACTGCGAGGCGAGGGAGACGGCAAGAGAAGCGAGAACTTGAAATTTCTGAGGTAGGTTTCTTTCCTTTTTAGTCGACGCCAGCACAGGGTTCTTAAACGTAATTCATCCCCTTTTTTTTCCGAGAAGGACTAATGGAAGAGAGAGAGGGTTGATGCTTCTCCGCGCTTATCTCTGTCTGACAGTCGCGAGCAGCGGTTGGCGAGGGCTGGTGTTAGCGCGCTGTGCTGTGCGGTACGGTGCAGGCGAGTAGGCCCGGGGACAGGGATCAAAGGCAGGCTCGGGTGAGCGCCGTTTTTCTCTCTGATCCCTCCGGTGGCGAGACCCCGCTCGCGCGCTGCCTTACACACTCATCCATCCGTCCGTCCGTGAGCAGAGCCTCATTCCACAGTACAAACACACTCCCACGGCTCACGTTTACACACACACACACACACACACACACACACATCCCCATGAGTCTGTGTGTATTCAGGTTTAAGTCCCCACCAGAATAGAAAAACAGGTACACACACACACACACACACAGACAGACACACACACGCACACAACAACCACTTCTGCTTGCTACAGTAGATACAAGCACAAAAAGTATTATACTCACGAATTGATCACATAAAAATTTTCTATGCAACAATCTTTGTCGATCTTTAAGCACAATGCAACAAAACTACTGATATGCCAAGTGTTATGACAATACCATGGTATTTTTATATAGGGCCTACATTTGATGTAAATACCATGGTATATGATTATGGTTGTTCTGTAATCCTGGTTATTCTGTCAAAGGTTATATCAAAGTATCATGATATTTCCATCCTATAGCTAGCCTACTATAGTAAAATAAATAAATAAAATATTTTTTCCCACACTGCTTGGAGATATATAAATTATTGCTATTACTGTAAAATCATAATAAACATATTATTCATAATTTTAATACTATATATAATTATTATACATTATAATTGTTATATTATCATGAATTAACAATAATAAAAAAATACACACACACACACACACATTTTACTACATTTTAATAATTTAAACAAAAAAACACCTATGAAACTATGTATATATATATATATATATAAAGTATGTATATAAATTAGTGACCATATATAAATTAGTTTGTTGTTGTAACGGACGCTTACAAAAAATGACCATATTTGTCACAATTTTTGTTTAAATTATTAAATCGTAGTAATATGTAATCACATTTTATATATTTTTTTCTATAGTTATAAATTTGATATAATTTTCATAAGTAAAGCTGTCTGTGGTTCTGCAGAGGCATGTTGTTTTCCTCTCTCTCCCAGCAGGTGTCCCTGTCAGGCAGAGCAGTGGAATCCACCTCAAAGCTCTCTGCCAAGGAACACATTTCCTCTCTTAAAAACCCATTTAGAGAGGCATAATAGCCAGCGTGAGCGCCTGACATCACGTTCAGAGAAACAGGAAACTTCTGCCTTCTATTCTCTAGATAACATCAATTAGAGATTTTCTGATTGGTTACGGGACATTGAGAGATATTAGCTATATCAGTATGGATATTTGAAGGGTCATCGGGACAAAATATATAATTATGTAACTTATAAACACAGCTGGAGAATTTTTGTCTATTGGAAACCTGTTCTCCAGAAGTCTTTCCCAACAAAAATGTATTCTATCCAAAGGAAGGAAAGGAAAATGAGTGTTTTCCCCGACATCTCCCAGAGTACGTGTCCTTATCCATCACCTGCTGTGCGACAAAATGAAATGGGGCGATACGGCTCACCTCAACCCAAAAACATACCTGCAGACCAGCCAAGCAATGCCTAATAGACCCCATCTGACACTGCATCACTCCCAGACCAGCCTAAACTTATAATCAAGGACTACAACAACAACAACCACTGGTGGATGGCTTTTCTACTGGTCTGTAATGGGAAAATGCGCTCTGTCTGGATGGGTTATACCAACACCTGTGCTGAGATCAGCAGGAGTCCATTACCGGCCACCACAGCCCATTTACAGCCAATCGCCACATTTTGGTCAATCTTTACCAGCCACCGGTAGCCCATCAACGGCAGACGTTAGGAGAAATAGATCTTTCGTCCGAACACATGCGCCTATCTCCTCCAGACAGGAGTTGTCTGTGAACTTCCAATATAAAGGAGTTATCTTTGATCAAAAAAATAAAAAACACATTTTTTGCCCTTGTCACAGAAGGCAAGGTGACATCTGATGTTTTGGGAAGGGAAAAGATTCCCGGCTGCAACAGATCCACTTTTTTCTTGCTGAACAGCTAGCTTTCTTTTACTAAACAACTGCTGACATGCAAACTCGATAATAAATAAGATGATAAAAGACACAAAAAAGTTCTATTTAATATGAATATTAATGATAAGAATGAACATTTCTTCCATCATATAATAGAGTTCATTAGCCGAAGTGTGAGCTGAGGATGAATCAAAGTTGGGGTCGGGTTAGGTGATGTCTGATATGACCTCAGCAGATGCTCTCGGACCTTGTGTTTAATAGTAATAGTGCTACATTACTAATACAATTTATTATTATTATTATTATTTAGTAACGCACCCAGGTACAATGTGCAATGCTTTTTAAACATTATTGAAATGTATTTTGCACACTTGTTGTCTGTCCTTGACTATCTAGTAAAATAAAAAAATGTAAAAAAAAAAATTTTGATTACATTATTCTTTCTTTTGTAAAGAAATTCATATGCATGCCCAATTGAACTATCATAACTATCAAACTATCAAAACAAGCAAAGAAACTTATAAGTGGCAGTATACTGAAATATAATGCTAAAAAATTCAAAACATAGCAATCGAAAAGCAATAGAAAATTGAAATCAATTTTGTTTTCTCCATTTAAAGCCTGCAGACCTGATCCATGGCACTAGACAAAAAAACATTCATTATTTATAAGGAGAAAGTGTTTAAGCGCAGCTGAGAAGGAAGCAAGAGGAAGCGTCTCTCCAGTGTTAAATGCTCCCATTAATAGAAAAAAGACCTCCATGTCTGCTGGTATTTACGGAGGTTTGGAGCGAAGGCATTAGTGCTCAAAGCCCCTGTGCCACGATTAACAATCTCTCTCACTGTAAGACGCCCATGTTATCCTTCCGACGTTGTAGTTACGAGGGGAAAAGCTCTTTTTTGTCACCAAATCCTTAATTCTTTCTTCTCTGGAAAAAAGAGGCTAATACTGAGAATGTTTCTCAATCTGCTTTGAGAGAGCATGGGGAGAGAAAAGGAAACCCCCAATAAAACATGTGTGAACGAAAGGGTAATTGTGGACAAATGCAGCATTGAAATTCACTTTCAACTCTTTACACACCATTTCAATCTTATTTTATGCTTGTTAGCCACATCTTGTTGGTGAGGGTCGGCAAGACTGCCCAGTATTGATGGATAATTGTGTATAATTCACTACTTACATGCGATTTGCATCAATACGCATTATTTTTTAATGGTGGGCATTTGAGACAGAACCATTTCTGGAGAAAGTCAACCTAAATGCTCATTAATGGGGATAACTGGGAAAATTAGACAAAAACACAACCACAGCAACACGAATCCAGACAGGACACGCAACAAGAAATAAACACAGAAACATAGCAATTCCTGTCAAATGGCACCTACTCACTCTCATGTACACACATAAATATTCACTGACAAAATTGTCCAAAGCAACATAAATTTCACCCCCCAAAAACTATATATAGATTTAAATGTATACACAGTCTATTTAACCTTAAAGTCAACATGGACATGACAGTATTTACTTTATTGTTCTGAAAAATGCCATCCAATAGCTAAATAGATATTCAGACGATCCATCATTTCCAAAAGACAAAATCAAGTTCCATATTACCACCCTTTTCTTCCTTATTATCTGCTTTTACTCTGAAATACATCACATTATGAAAGTAAAGTGAAAGCCATTTCATTCTTATGGTTTCTGATATAAAATCTGCAAAGGTTTGGGAATGATTACAATGTTTTCGAGCTATGAAAAAACAAAAAAAACAAAAACATGAATTTCTCCATAATTTCTGTTTCCACACAAGCAGCGGATGCTAGCTTAACTCGACAATGCTCTTGATCTGTGAACCATGCTGGCGTTCATTCAGCGTTCTCACATTAGAAAGAGGCCTCTGCACTAACCTGTGGCGAAAGGCCGTTGCTCACGGGATTCATGTGGTTGCTTGTAGCTGACGGGCTCATAAAAGTCTCTGAATAGCTGGAGAAGGTGTGGCGGTTGGATGAGAGGCCGTAGGCGGAGCTACTGTCAGCCGGAAGTCCGCCCTGGTGCATGGAGGAAGGCGGCAGAGGCTGCGGCCGGTGCAATGTACTGCTGCCATCTGAAACACAAATCGAGACGGTGATACCTATTCGCATCAGTCTATCATCAAGTATCAAAATGGTAGTAGAGGAACACTTTAGATTAGGGAGCACATATAACACTTTACTTAAAGCCTTTATATATAATGCATTATAAAAGTAGTTTTAATGCATTAATTATGCCTTGCAATGCACCTTATAATGAATTGTACAATCTCATGAATCATTGTAACCACAGTTATACATTATAACACTTATTAATTCATTGTTACACTAAACATTTTAAATTCAGTCATAATTATTTACAACAAGATTTAATGTATTACAACACATTATGAATAATTAGAATGCATTATACCCTTTAATAACACTTTATAATGCATTATACATAAAGGCTTTAAGTAAATTGTTACAAGAGTTTTCCCTCAACAAACTCTGAATTTGCTATTTATTGATAGTAAGTTAGGTAGTTGTTGTAGTAGAATATGGTCATGCATTAATATTTGCTTTATACGTACTATTAAACGGCTAATATGCTCGTTGTATGCATGCTAATAAACAACTAGTTAATAGTGAATAGTGTTACTGATACTGGGATATTTTGGGATCTGGTACTGTGGTAACACCATATTATTTTGGATATGCACCATGATGTTGCAAAGAATGTCGATAATATTTATGATAATCTGATATACCATTGTACCACTACAGCAGTATTGCATTTTTTAAACACTTTTAATTTTTTATAATAATAATAATAATTCTTCTTATTTATTTATTTATTGCAGGGTTATAAGTCGTTCAAAACATTAAAGATGGAGAGATTGTATTTAATGTTTTTGAAAGAACTCTATTCTGTTTACTAAGGCTGCATTTATTTGATCAAAATACAGTAAAAAAAAATGTTATACTGTGAAATATTATTACAATTTAAAATATTTTTCTATATTTTATTATATTTATAAGCTTAATATATTCAAATGCTTAATATATTGCAAATATTATATTATATTATATTATATTATATTATATTATTACCTGTCGGACACTTTAAAGAGAGTCTAGAGCACTTTTACTGGAGCGGTGTTTTCTGATACACATGGACACGTACACACAGAGACATCTGTCACATCTATAACATACTGCTTCATATCAAGCTACAATACTTGAATGAACTGTTTGGCTTCACTAAAATAAATTAGATAAAATAAATGTAAAAAAATAATTTAAAAAATCAAATGTTTTGATTTGACTTTATAGACAAAAAGTACTTAACTTCCTTTTGGGCGTGGTTCAATTTAACCTACATTTAAACTACTTGAAATTAGTTGAATTGGATTTGATTGTTCTTGAAATTTTGAGATGTGTTTTGAAAAAAAAAAAACGATATAAAATTGGATATGCAATATATTTATTCACATACATACAACATACTCATTTGAAACAATATATTACTATATATCAAATCTTTACCATCATTGCATAATGTAATTATATTACCATCCAGCTCTTTATATAGTTTGATATAGAATGTCCAACTTTATTTGTCTACATACAATGCTATCCACTACATTGTAAACATTAACATCATGATCTTCTGTAAAGCTGCTTTGAAACAATGAGTATTGTGAAAAGCACTATTTAAATAGATTTGACTTGTCTTAACTTGACTATTGTAGCTTGTCAAAGACTAAGATATGAAATATATATTTTAAAACAAATCGAGGACCTATTTTATTAAAACAGCAGGCTTTCCACCATTAGGAGCGCAAAAATGGCAAAAGAAAGAAAGATGCTCAGTGTTTACATTATTGAAAAGCATTTGTTACTTGTCTTTTTTTTCAGTGTTAAAATACTTTTTTGTTTTAGTCGGACCAAAATAAACGCCCATTCAAACCAGACAGACTTCAGACAGTCGTCTCAAAATGAGGACAATTTGCACATTTTAAACGGAGGCTTCTATTCCATCAAAACATGAATATAATTAGCGTCTCTGAAAGCAGCCTGCTCTATTTCACAGGAACAAGACCGGAGCCCTGCGTATGTGAAAGGTTGGAGGACACTGATCTATGCCATGCACTGGCAATTCATCCGTGTTTAATACACTGTCAGGGCAGTTCATCTACCGTTGTGTTTAAAACGGGCCGGTCCATTGTGCGTCCAGATGAAAGGTGGAGACAAAGGCCTCTCAATACACCAGGCTGAAAAGTGTCCACAAAGAGTGGGCGTCCCTTTTTAAACGTGCCTTTAAGAGCTCCACTTTCATGGTACGCACACAAGGACACACTCTATTCTGATGCAACCACACCGTAGACACAATCTACAAAACACACACACACACACACTCGCTGGCTCTTTCTTACAAAGCGTTTCTTACATTTTCCATGTGCAAAACTGTCAGGCCACTAACAGCTAGCATCTCATTCAGATGACTTCAATGGCTCGCCATCGTTTGATGCGACTAAAGATGACTCTTACCCATCTGTCATGCGTTGGGTTCGAATCACTCTTTCTTACGCTCTCGGAAAGTGAAACCCCCACCCGACCGTCATCCTCTCAAAGGGTTTAGGAGGAGACGCTTCGCCCCTGTCCTGAGCCTAAACCTGGTGTCGTAGACAGATAAAGGATGGCCTGGCGTCCTGAAGGAGCTCGGGAAATGCATGTGCTGGGATTCGAATGGATCTTCTACTGGGAATCGCGCAAACAGGTTATGAAGAATGGAAGAACGCTGTGTCCTTCCCCCACAAACCAAAAAGTGTCCCGCTCCGCTGTGCCTCCTGACCTTTGACCTCTGAACCCTGCTCTCCACCCCTTCATCCTTTCATCCTGATGGCCTCTACCTTCTTTCTTCTGCCACAAAGTGCAGATACGTACTTCTGTGACATCAGCGAGGAACATTTAATAGTTCTGGCATTTCATTCAAGACTACAGGCAAAACTTTATAGTTTTATTCCTATCAATATTCTCAGGGTTTTTACTAAAGGGTGTGTTCATATGATATTCACCTGTTTTTGTTTTTTTCTTAAAAATGTCATGTTTTTTTTTTCTGTCTGTTGACAGTGTTTTCTAATTTATGGCATGAATATGCACTCATTTGCATACATTTCCACAACAGAAACCTGAACATTTGAAAAAGTCAGGGTCAAAATTCTTGTTGACATAGTATAGCTTAAGTTTGAGAATTTTGGATATCTCTTTTTATTACTCCATGTTTTTTTTTTTTTGGAATAAACTGTAATATAAATTGAATGAGTTATGAACAAACACCTCTGTAAAATCCTTATGAATATAGATATAAATAAAGTTCGGTGTATGTAAGTGCTGCTAAAGTTTAAATTTCAAAACTCAAAGAAATGGCCTTTAAAAATATGTATTGTAAATGAAATCGATAGACACGAACCGATAAAGTGTAATAAAATAAACACTTAAAAGTGTATTTTAGATCGTTTCTTTCCACTTGTCTGAAAGAAGACATGTTATAGAAGCAAAATAGTCTAAAATGTCTAAATTAACCAGTGCATGAAAAACAATCTTTTTGTCTGTAGTGTCTTGCCTTAAGAAATTTCTTTCTTAAGATTTTTGTGAAATCTTTAAGCCCAAGTTCATTTACACTCGTCACTTTTGTTTGCGATTTTTCTACAGAAAGCAAACTATTATCGCTTTAAATGGCTTGTTTCTTCTCTGGCTTTTTGTTTAATCTCTCATCCTCACACATAAACTAATCTCTGCACATGCATTACCACACAATCTGTAAAATGCATAATGCTATGACAATTCATAAAGAGATTTGGGATACATTATTCTCAGAGAGCTGCCTGCATCCCTGTGGTCAGAGCACTTACGATGCAGCCAGCAGATCTTGTGGCTTTACCATGTGCTCGGCGAAGACTCCTGTCTGCCTTAATCACACCAGCAGCCTGTGAAGCATATCTGTCTAAGTGAATTTGCTGCTTTTGAAAGCAACGTGGCATCACAGAGGTGCACGAGTTAACTCTATTAAGTTAAACATTAAGCACAATATGCCTAAATAAATACAGTTCTGTTTTATAGCACAGAGGGATGCGTCATCATAGTGCCTTGCTGAGATTATGTGTGTGTGTGTGTGTGTTTTCTGGGTTGCTCCAGTCATACCCTCTGAGCTGGATTTGGAACCCAATCACAAAGTCACCTTGAACAGTCCCAGATTCCCTCTCTTGCTGTCTGCAATCCAGCCTAATTCCTCCACTGAGACGGTTTTCATCCAGCCCACAGCAAAACCACACGAGGAAGAACTTACTGTCCACTGACAGCAGTTCTTAGGGAGAATGCTGAAACAATAGGGCTGATACAGGATAAACTGTTTGATAAATAAATTTAAAAAGTAAAGAAGTATGGTTAATGTTGGGGTATGCATTTGAATACATTTGCACTTTTTTTTTTTTTTTGGAAGGGACAACTCACCCCAAAATGATAATTATGCATTTTATTATCTTTTATTTAATTCTATCTAATTCTGAATGAGTGTGACACTCATTTAGTGAACAAAAAAAATAATAATTTTTTTTTTAATAATCTCTGTCTTTTCTGAACTTTTTCAGTGTATTTTCTAACTTTGCATTCAGTGAAAGTCAAGCCACATTTATTTATATAGAGCTTTATATAATACAAACTTTCAAAGCAGCTTCACATTAATAATCAGGAAAATAACCGTGTTAAAATTCATTAAAAAATAAAATTTCAGCTGTAAAGCAGCTCTATAAGACAAAAGTGTCGTTATTTAGCTCAATTTAGAACAAGTTTTGTTCTCATCTGACAGTGTAAGTGTTAAATCGATAATATTGCATATTTATTGTCTTTTAAACCAATGTTGTTTTAGTTCAGTTCAATAACAGTGTTAGCGATGCAAAGTTCAACAATTATGAAACAACTTCTATTCAGCTGTACAACAGCTCTACAGAAGACACTAGTGTCATTATCCAGTTCAATTCGGTTTATTCTCATCCAATAATATCACTGATTATTAATTGTCTTTTAAACACCAATGTCAGTGAAAGTCAATAGGGTTCAATATTGCTTCTTATTTTGATACTGCAGAAGCAAGTCAGGTTTGAAATGGCAAGTGAATGATCATTTTTGAGTGCACTACCTCATTTTAATCAATCAAAGTTCAATTATTAGCTTCGGCACACCTTCAGTTGTGAAGTGTGTGAGAGACTGTGTGTGTGCATTTGTTTCAATCATTACGGACTATAAACCCAAAGATGGCGCAACGTCTGGGCTCAGCACTGTCCCTGTGTCCAGTGCAGCAATCTATGGAGATTTATGTTTACAGCACACAACTGTCACGGAGAAATGAGATAAACCTGTGTGCACACACACAAAGTGTTTCGTATTCCTGTCTTTTACAGGATGTTTCTTGCACCGCAAGTCCCTTGTTTGTGAGACCGCCGTGTGCATTCAATAAGTCACTGCAAACAGTCGCCCGTAAATCCAAGATAGTGTTGGACACAGCAACAGTCTCCACTGAAACATGTTTCTTGTTAAGGAAAATGTTATTAAGGGATGCTTTTAAAAGGTTTCAGGCCGTTCACCTCGTGTTTCAAAGGAATAAACATTAAACAAGGGCGACATCTGTTTTTATACCAACAGATGCGATTTAACCAACTTCAGTCTAACAAGCAATGTGTTGACTGCATCAAATAATCGTTTTTTTCTCTTTCTTCTGTAGCCCGCTTGAATTCTCTCACTCTCTTTCTCCCCGTCTGGCGCTATGCTAATTAACATTACTGGGAACGCGAAATGCAAAAAGGAGACTGGGATTACTTAGATAAGAATCAACGAACACAAAGCGGCTAAAAGAAAGTCATTTAAATTCTAATAATGCGAAACTGTTAGAACATTCTCACTGATGCATTGCAACAATTTTGCTCTCTACAGTCTTCATAAATCCTATTTATTCTTTTATGGTGCACAAGCTAAGACTCTCTGAAACAGAGGTGCCTGTTGGGCTGGATGGGATTTTTTTTGCTTGCATTTTTCTGGTCTCGGGGTGCAAGGAATTGATGAAATATTATATGGAATATTGCCACAGAAATAGCTGGCGTATAAAGTACCCTAGTGAAAAATAGATATGCTAAAATGTATTTGAAATACATTTATTTCAGGCTAAGTATACTATAAATGCATTTACATTTTTATGTACTTAATAAAAATACCCTGCAATTGTACTTTCAGCTAAATCGGAACAACTATTTTTCTACTTAATGCACTTTAATTGTGTGGAAGTAGTGCTGAAGTCCAACTAAAGATATACTGAAGTATATTTGATTGTGCTAAAGTGGAATTATTGCAAGTGTACTTTAGGTATCTTGCATCTTGCATTTAAAGACTGGTTTTATTCAAAGCTCATACAGTCCTCAACTAGTGACATTAAAACACATTTTAGGCTTAATATTAAGTTAATATTAAGTAGTACTCCAAATAAAGTTTAATTATAATTTTTATATCAGTGAGTGTAGAGCGATATGTCAGTAAATATGTTAATAAATTTGAACTATATTTAGTATGAAATATCCATATTTTAAATATATTACTTTTCTACTGGGGTATGTATTCTAAAAAACTGCAGAGAAACCATAAAGAGACCAAGAGATCAAAACATAATATCTTTGCAAACTGCATTAATAGTCAAATCGTCCTGTCTTTCCTAATTAATTAGTCTATCTATTTTTGATAAATACATTCTATGCTTTTTATATGCTATATCATGACCTACACATTCTCCCCTTTTTAGTCAGCTAGCATAAAAATGTTAACATTAAAACACACAACTCACCTCTTGCCTCTTAAACCTCTTAAAACCTTCAGAATGAATAAGAACAGAATGCAATTCACTCCATCGTGGATGATTTATAACAAGCACCAGCCTTTCTGCCACTGTCCACTTTTTTTTTTTAGTGCTGGTTGAAAACTCTCCCCTTGTTTCACCTAGCTAACGTTTCTCGTTCCACTAATGGTCTGAGTGGTGGCTTGACGTCCTCAGATGTTACATGGCATTTATATGGTGCTCATTCACCTCGTGGACGTAAAGTAGCAGGACTATGAAGCCACAGGGAGAAAGCCTCTGCTAGGCTACATAACCCTGTCACAACCCTTTAACATCCCTGCTACCATCAAACTGAAATGAAACCGGTCTGTGTTAGAATTGGATGTGCTAAAGTTTGGTGAAGATGGTTAGGATGGAGATCAACAAAAATGTTAGCTAAAACTCAACCAAGAATAAAAAAATTCAAAATTCAAAAGCAAAATTCTGAATTGAGAACCTGGCTTCCTTTCAAATTCATGAGTGTGTATTTGAATTGAATTGGCCTCATCATGCAGGAAGTCCAATTAGAATTACAGGAAGAGGAAGATGAGATGATTAATCTATGTCAGTTAAAAAAAATCTAGTTTTAGTTAATTCTACTTCCTTACAGTTGAATTTGACTTGACATTCTGCATCCTGTTTGCTACCTCAGTTCAAATTCTGGAATTTAAAAAGCATTCTCAAATTAATTATGAATGGTGCACAACCCTGGTCTCTTTTCTACTTGCCATGCATATCATTGCCCCTAGACTGCAGAAGGAGGGCTGTCTAACACGCTCTGGAGTTGATGATCCAGGGGTGGAGAGGCCCCTCTTTTGGCCCCTGTCTCACCCCAGTGCCCTCTTCTCCACTCCCCACTAAACTGACATCTGCCGGATGAGTCTGCACAGCTGTGGCGGAGCAGGTCACCAACCGGGCCAAAGGTCTGGTCTCGTTCTGGCCTGGGAGGAATCTCTATACAGAAACCTGCCGACATTCCCGAAGCCAAACCAGTGGGAACTTCTGTGAAACACCCCTAATGGTAACTGCATGAAGAAGACCTGCATTCTTGCTATGAAACAGCATGTCATACTGTATTTTATTAGAACACTCGAAAAAGTCTCTGCCAAAGCAGCTGCCATAAATTGGCATGTATGAGCCCTGGAATGTCTTGTTGGGTCTTGTGCCAAACTCGGACACCTTGTTGAATTAGTGTTTTTGGGTGGGTTAAACGCATTATCAAGTACCCTTTAATGTCAGTCCAATGGGAGGTCAAAGTGTGAGATACGATGAACTGCACTTTTATGAGTAAATCTATGTAAGTACTATACCAGGCTGACTCCTTTAACAGTTAAAAAAATCAATGAAATGCCACAATCCCCCCTTAACACTAGACCGAGCAGAGAACAACATTGAAGACCCATGGCCAATATTTACTGTGCTTAACCAGAGTCACTTTCTTAGGGTGACCTTTTTGAAAGATTCAGCTTGAGTTGACCTTTGAGGACTTTCAAAGTGTTCCAGAATTAGATTATGAGAAAAACTACATTAACAAATTATATCCATGACTCAAATACCTCAGCTTTTCACATGATATCTCTTTAACCCTATTATGCGAGAAGGGGGAGATGTGTCCTTTTGGTTATTCGGCCTTGTTCAAGGTTTTCTTTGGGTCCTATCTCTTGTCATTTGCATCAGTTACGATAAATACGCCAAGCACCCCCGGGCGATTCTTGCGGGCCAAGAAATGCACAATTGACCTACAAATGTGGCTCATCGGTTGCCATAACATGCTGGAACCGAAGACACTTGTGTTTGACAAGCATGTTGTTTTTCATTGACCAATTAGAGGTGTTTTTTCACACCCTTGGTTTTATGTTCATTATTATCACAGCTAATATGGATGGTAGAGTTCTAGTTGTTTAACTCGGCGTTTTCCCTTTCTTTCCCTTTCGAAATCCCCAAGACACTTCTACCTTTCGTGATGCTGTTTAAGTAATAATGAATGTTTTTACATACACCAGAGCTTACCAGACATAAACCTACAATCAATGCAAATCGGTCCCCTAAATACATCATGTGTGAAATATTGCGAGAAAACAAGCGTAGCATAAATCTCTCAAAATTCTCCCAAGAGTGTGGAAGCAACCATTTAGACACATACATCTTCTTCCTTGAATGCTCAGAGGCAGACAAAGACATATGTTAAATCAGTTGCCCTGCCGATGAGTATGTTCCGGTAAGGAACCTAAGCATAGGTACGGAGCGGGATCTACGGAGGGCGAAGTGAGGATGAGAGTTTGGAGAAACCTAGACCCCCTACCCCCACCTTGCCGAGTCTTTTACAAGCGCTTGATTGATTAATGTTGTTGTCAGGGAACAGAGTCCCCAGAGAGAACCAGAGGGATCCTTTCTGATATGTAGAGGGATTTACAAGTAGCGGCCAGCTTTCAAGTGCTGGGAAGCTATCGCCAGCCAAGGGAAGAGATGAGAAATCCATCAGGAATGCATTTTGTCTGTTCTTCTTTCTTCCCTTCTCTTTTTCCCCCATCCCTCTTTTTGTCTCCCACTAGCTCAGAGTGCAGCTGCTGCTATAATTCTACTGTATTTGCTTTGCGATGTTACATAAAACTACAGGGTTAACAAACTGTCAGGAAGCGTCCCGAAGACTCGGGTGAAAGCAATAGGGCAGGGCTCCAACTGTCATCTGACCAAGAGTGATGTACTCCCGGAGGGGAGGGGAGGTCAAACAATTAGTCTCCGCTGAATAAATAAATATAACAAACACCAGCAATAAACAGAGGCATCTAGATGACAAGAGAAGAAACAACTCCAACAGGAGGTCTAAAAGCCAATCAGATACATTCAAGGTCAATTGCAATTGTGAAACCATGCAGGGAAAGTACAAGTATCTGTGCGAGTGAGCGTATCCCACCTGTACACGAGCCTCGGTCAGTTTGGTCCTCTGTGCAAGCTCCTCTCTAGTGTAGATGTCAGGGTAGTGCGTCCTCTCAAAGGCCTTCTCGAGCTCCTCCAGCTGCTCTGCTGTGAAGGTGGTACGGCTGCGTCTCTGTTTCCTTTTCAGGGGCAGATCTGGCTCTGACTCCACTTCCGAGCCATCATCTGTACGGTTACCTGCGTACACAGTTTGGAAATAAGTTGTTGAGAGGCTTTGAACATCGGCACCAAGTCTCGGATGCTTTACAAAATGGCAAGTTATTTTTAAAAATGTAATATGTACAGCAACTGAAAATTTCAGCTGTCGCCAGTACGATGGCACACCGCGAATTTGTCAACGGAAAATGATCCTGAAAGCCGAGACCAGCTATCATGGCAATATTAATGCTTCCGTTATCTCGATGTGTCAATGGAGCCCTAGATACCTTTTTATTGGGTCTTATTCATATGTGAGAAGTCTTCAGACACATAATCCTGCCACTGAGCCCTGGAGAGGCCTGGGGGACGTAACTGTGAGGGTTAGGGTAATCTACACCAGACACCTTGCTCTAGCACGTCCGCCTTATTCTCTCTGTAGCGGGCTGGGGCTAGCTCCTAAGAGCAAATGTTTGAAATAAGAATGTATGAGACTTCTGGGCCATTGAATCCCTCTCTTTGTGTTTCAAGTTAGTGTTCGAAATATATTACAACATATTTTACATTACTTTTTTTCAGGCACTCAGTCAAAGACAAGTGCAGATCGCAGTTGGCAGTTTGCATTTTAGCCAGAGGAGTATTTCCCCGGCACAAAGACGAACACTACTACGACCGAGCCAAGAGGAGCGTTTGTAAGGAGAGATATGGAGTGCGTTAAGATATATTACTGAAATACATTACCATGATAATTGATTCTAAAATTGCATCATACTTTATTTGTGAGCCACCTCTGTATATCTATTCATGGCAGCAGAAAGCTCGTGAAAGGTCCTGTCACAAAAATCACACTTTTACATTTGCTTTCTTAAAACGCATGAGTGCTAACAAGCAGTGTAGCTTGAGTCTTGCTCCAGGCCCTTTGGTCTTGCATCATCCACGGGGGAAAGACAGAAAGAAGGGCTCTGAGCTCCTTCCCCCGCAACGCCACAGCTGCCACGACGGAAACAAATCTCCTTTGAGCCATCGTGCGCGCTCTCTGCCCACTGCTGATCAGCAGGTTCCTGCACCCTGGACCACTTCACACAAGTTTTCCTGCATCTCCGTTTTCTTCTGCCAGACCGGAGCCTGATCATCTCTCTCAAACCCCCATCTGCCAGGCCTCTTCTACGGCTGATAGGCTGCCAGGAAAAGAGGTTACAAAAAGGCCTGTGGGAGAGTGCTAGTGTGTGTATATTAGTATGTGCATGGGCGTGCGAGTATGTCCGTGCGTATCGACGAATGCATTCTTGGTGCATGTGCGAGAATTGGGTGCACTTGAAACTGACAATGGGGGGGAAAACAATCCCCCAGCGTAATGCAACTACCAACAACAAAAAGAACCAAACTGCGGGTCTGCAAGTGTGTTTGTGCATGCTTGCGTATCCATACATGCATTCTTCTTGTTGCATGTCAATTTTCGTTCACCAAATAAATGCAGAAATGAAATTGCAGATTATATATAAAGAACCCAACTCTGGGCGAGTAAGTATGTTGGGTATCAACAAATGCATTCTTCTTGGTGCATGTGGAAGTGCGTAGAAAAAGACAAAGAAGAAAAACACCTATATATTGTTTTTAAACCAGGTAACTGCATACTGTATGTATAAAAGACAAAGCAAGCTATGGTCTTGTGTATTTACACACATTCTTCTAGGTGTGTGTCAATTTTGGTGGCATCAAAAGTACCAGTTATCAATAAAAAGAACCTAAATCTGGCAGTGCAAGTATGTTAGTGCATACTTGCATATCAGCAAATGCATTCTTCTTGTTGCATGTGGAAGTACATGGAAATTACAGAACAGACTAGGGTCTTATTTATTCACACATGCATTCCTCTTGGTGCACGTGCAAGTATTTGGTGCAACTACATCAACAATAGAAGAAAAACTCCCTTCCGCAACGCAACCGCTTCAAGACGCACCAAACTGCTGCAGTCTCCAGACCAGCTCTGGAGTTTAATTAAACATGGAATTAACGGATTATATGGAGACTATCATTACAGACCACTCGAGCAGTCTTCACAGAATGTCTTTTTGTCTCCCCAAGCTCTGGCTCAATGATTCTCAATGGATTACATGCGACCGCAGGACATGAGTCCGCATTCATTAAATCAATTCCTCCATCTTCCCCCTTTTAATAAAGATAGATTTTTTTACAACACTGCCTGGCACTCCAGCACACGAACAAAATCTTGAATATACAAAGTTGAATATGTACATATCCTGGATATCCCTTTGTTGGTTTTCATGAGGATGCGCCAGAGCGATTTGTTGCTAACACACCATGACAACACTTGAGACTTGTGCAGTGGTCTACGGATCACTTTCCAAAGTCACCTCGGCATCCTGAGGGGGAGGGAAAGACGTGCCGCTGTGATTTTTGTTTCATTGCACAGTTTCGGCACATGATTCATGAGGCAAGATTCTGTCAGCGTATCCTGCCCTTGTGTCTCTTTGGTTTTTTCTGTCCACACGTTTGATGCATCAAAGCCTTTTCACTTATAATTACAAATGTACTGTAACCATATCAAATCCCACTGCACGTCTTTTGTATTGAAATATTTTACAAAACACACGTAATCAGCGGGCAAACTCAGAAACAAAACTCAGGTTGTTGTTGTCATTTCACAAGCTCTAGCTCAGCTGTCTTGCAAGCCCAAGACTGAAGGTCAACAGGCTATGGAGACAGATCAGCCTCAAAAATAACACATTTGCAAAACAAAATTCATAAATGCACAGCACAATTTACATTTACAAAATCCGATTCGTAAATTCAAAACACAATTCATAAATACACAAGTAAAAGCATAAATATTTCCCCAAATGCTCACACAAATGCATCTTACCTAAATAAATTTAAAATGTTTACACAAATATGTATATACAAATTTCTTGAATTAATTTCCATCACACATGAATGATGTTACATGTATTTATGAATCGTTGAATCTGCATTTGCAAATCGTCACATGTGCGTGGACTGCTTTGAATTTGTGTGCGGTATTTTTGAGACCTTCCTGGCAGGTTAAGATTCATAAATATCTTTTTTTGGAGGATGTTCCGTTCAGCCAATCGCGGTGAGCTTTTAATCCACCAATCAAAACACTCCTTACTGAACAGACTCAAGAAGCTCAACGCTGCACTTGTACTGTGCATTGTTCCATGATTGGGTCCTTGATGATATATACATATTTGTGTAAACATTTTAAATTTATTTAGGTAAGATGCATTTGTGTGAGCATTTGGAGAAATATTTATGCTTTTACTTGTGTATTTATGAATTGTGTTTTGAATTTACGAATCGGATTTTGTAAATGTAAATTGTGCTGTGCATTTATGAATTTTGTTTTGCAAATGTGTTATTTTTGAGGCTGATCTGTCTCCATAACAGGCCCCCTGACAACAGCAAAGGATTATGGTAATGAAACAGATGCTGGCAGAGATAGAGCAGTGAGAGGGGCATGATACAGGCCTCATCTCTGTCCCAAAGATGTCCACTGATTGGGATGCTAGCTTCTATCAAGAGAACAGAAGCCCCAAATGGGTTCAGATAGGTTATGGCAAACATGTAATATGCTACAAACATATGTGTTATGCTAATGTGCTGCTTCTCCGCTGCTAATATGACCGTGGAGAAGCTGACTAAAAGGCTAAAAGTATACAAAACTTTAAACTCTTGTGTAGCTATTATAACTAAATTTCCATTCGCTCTCATTCCTTGTTTAAAAAAGCACTACATTTAACCACAGTAATCAGGGGACCAAAAAAAGCAGCAGTTAATTTGCACTTTAAACACAGTTAAGCTCAAGAAGATGTGAGGTCAATTCACAAGAACTCTTCCCTGTTTTAAAACAATAAGGTACATCCTGACTAATCCGCCTCACAATAACCGAGCTGTAATTCTATTTGAGGGTTCTGGGGATATTGATAAAGTCCTCTGCTCACTTATCAGCCAATTAAAGCCTAATTATGTTCCATTCATTCTGTGCTACAGCCTGGCTGTTTTTCCTCCAGGGCCCAACGTGATCTTTAACAAAATGCTGACTTTGTGCCGAGTATTTCATTTGCAACAAAATCAGGTGCGTACAGAAGGCTCTGACAAATTTTAGATCGCATTTCATTTAAAAACCAAACCCGTATGAAGCAGAAGGCTAGAAGCAGATAAACCGTTACGAGTAGGTTCTCTGCTTCTTGGCTACATGAATCACTAAAGCCAAATCTCATCCATTTAGGGCCCATTATCTGCAACAGTTAAGCCAACATACACATTTAGCTCAATTTAGCAGTCGTTTACGTTGGCTTTAAGGGATAGTTCACCGCAAAATGAAGATTCTGTCATCATTTACGCATCCTCATGATGCTCCAAACTTGTATGACTTTCTTTCTTCTGTGAAACACAGATATTTTAAAGAACGTTGAGTTCCAAACAACATTAGACCCCATTGACCTTCACTGTATGGAAAAATCTATATTTTAAAAATATCCACTTTTGTGTTTGAAATGTGACCATATTACAAAATTCCTTGCTAGTTAACAGGTGAATTAAAGACAGTTCTGAAATGACCTTGTGTATTAATATTTCCTTTTTTCAGCAGCTTGCATGCCACTGAAGAACCATTTTGGGTTCCTCAAAGAAAACTTCAGTGAAAAGTTCTTAAAAGAACATTTTAAAAATAAGATTTTACACTGTAAACAACATTCTGTCCAATTGAAAGGTTCTATTGATGTTAATGGTTCTTAATAGAACCATCAACTCCAATAAATAACTTTTATTTTTATTTTAACATTAATGTTAACAGCACAGTAATTTATGATGTCTCTTTTCTTCTCTAAGGGCTTTAATCAACGTATGTTGAGTATGTTAACTAAGTCATTTGTCTAAATAAATAAATATATAAACATCTTTGGTCTGCTTAAAAAGAGAGATGACACTAACAAAAAAGTACCACGTTACTTTAGTCATTTAGTAGCATGGACTGATACCATCACTGTACCATGCTATAC